TATTCCTTAAGATGTCCAAGCCAAAATGTGCACATAAATATAGTCTGGACTTGTTTTCTTTTTTACAAGATCCACCCTCTAATAAATTTCTCTTTAATGGCCATTACCACTTCCATTAAAGATTTTTGTATTAAAACAATTACAGAATGTCTCCTGACTTGCAGGAGTCTCTGAGTGGTAAAGTTAAAAACCAAAATGAGCCATTGGTCTTCAGGAGTTTTTTCCTGAATAAGGATCCTTCAGGAGCAACTCCACTAAAACTTCCAGGCCAAGATTCAACAGTTGCAAGTTTTGATCTTCAAAAAGGCAAAATGTAAAATATAGATGGTTTTTAATGCTTATGGGAAAAAAAATATCATCCCTCAACCAAGCCACTTTCGCTGACCTTCTCTATTTTTGCTTTCATATTTATTATGGCTGGAGAAATGCACTAGTTAAAAATTATCAACTTGAATTTAATGCACTAGAAAACAGGATCTGCTTCCACCTCTGTCTGCACACATGAAGGCCATGCTAGATGAGAGAGATCTGGCTGTGCTTTGGAGGCTGACCCATGGCACAGTGCAGGGTCTGGCAGGTGAGATGTCCATCTGCAGCCCAGACCTGGCTGACCAGTGTTTCCAGGGCCTGAGATAAAATAATACTAATAATAAATACTGATTTCAGGCTGAACTGACTGACATCACTGATAATTTATTAAAGCTGGCTGCTGTGGGGGGTGAATATTTTCAGGCTGCTGGCTTAAAGTAATCGCCCGAAGTATCAACATTACCTGATATAATCACTACATAGTTCCTACATAGGTATTTTTGCTTCATGCAACACACATTTTGAAATCTCTGTCCCATTAGGTTAATGACTTTAATGGCTGCTTTTGTGAGATGCTTCAATCCTGACTGGCATAGAGCACCTCCAACGTGAGATGTACCATGTTATCATCTCAAGTTTTCTGTTTCTTCATCAATATTATTTCAAGTGGATCCCCTGTTCCCCAACACCCAGCAACCCATGTCTTGCTGTGGTATATTGATAATCTGAGGATATTTTATGATGAGATTAGGAGCTATGCTTTCTTAATATTCATTAACTCATTTGCATTTCTCTAGCCCTGAAAAACACATTAAATAAAACAATAAGGTGGATGTTGGAGTCAGCTTGAAAAAGAAGATTTTGAGGTATACTATATTTTAAATGTCATTTTAACAGGTGAGAGCAGCACATTTATAATGACCAAAAAAGAAAAAAAAAAGAAGAAAAAATCATTAAAAAGAAGAAAAGTCTTTACTACCTCAAATGTTACCAAAATGTCACATCACATAGAAACACTTTCAAAGAGGAAGATATGTTCTTTCCCGATGCACCAGTTTCATAATATTGTGACATTTACATTCTAATGATAACTAAACTTTGATCTTTGGGAAACTTTAGAGCAAAGAGCCTGATTTACTGTGATTTTGCCACCTCCCTGAGGGAACTAGATGCAGCCTGCAAACCTCACAGGAGTTATACAAACAGAAAATAAGAAAGTAAAATATTGGGAAAGATGGCTGTTTGGATTATGTGTGCAGAGAGAAGTCATGAGGATTAGCCAGGTTGAACACTGAGGTTTGGTTAAGGATAGCTACACAAAATCCATGCAAACACTCCCCTGCACTTAGGGGGACAAGGAGCTGAAGACATAAACCTGAACCCATCTATCTTTTACTGACACTGGGTCTTGAGAAGTTGGGAGGTAATAAACTAAAGGGATTGCAGAGCTTCAGCTTTATTCCTAATCTGTGTCACAGAATTAAAACTAACATGGGCAGGAAATCTTGTCTTTATGCCCTCCTTAGGAGGGAATAAAGGACATCATTCTGCATACAGGTAGGTAGAGTACAGCTGGTGCCGCTCTCTGAGAAAGGTGGAGGCTGAGGAGCCTCCTTACTTTTGCAGGGAGTGCTGTCAAGTGTCCTAATTAAAATACCTGCTTTAACAATTAACTCAGGCTTGATTCAAGGTTCATCTGGCGAAATACTGGCATCTGGACGCTGCTCAAGGCAAATCTTTATTGTACACTGAAGCCAGTCTTCTGTCTGTCTCTCTCCCCTCAGCCTGGAAGGAAACACTTTTCCTTTACAGTGTTTTTCTGTCAAAAGCCCTGCAGCCACTGAATTTTTAGGAATTGTTTTATTTGCTTTGGTGTGCTGGGAAACTGGCTGCCTTTAGTGTAAAAGGGGAAAGAGCAATTTTACCTGGGTTTGTACCTTGCTGGATCCTGCAAGGCACATCATGCAACTCAGTGATATATTAGAGTGAGCAGGTTGCTTGCAACAGGGAGGTAGAAAAAAAGGAAAATAGGTGGTGCACAATGCCATGCAACCAAAGATGTTTTGTTTCTGTAATCATCTGCTACCATACCCTTATCCCAGTCAACACTGTGCTTCTCCAAACTGAAGAAGTTTTTAGGTTCATTAAGGTCTCCCAAAAACAAGCACCTTCTGCCCCAAAATAATTTTCATCAACTGCCCTTCAAAGTACTATATGGGACAGAATCAATTAACTCTTAAGGATTAGAATTTGAGCTACATGCAATAAATTCGACTACTTGCTCCTGGATGGAATTTTTGCAGTAAATAGGAATCTCCCAAGTGTCAGAGTGCTCAAGATAGTAGTCTGTGGTGTGGCTTTTTAGTAGTCTGTGGTGTGGCTTTTCAGAGCTAAATTATCAAGCAAAGTATATTCAGTCTATTCAATTCAACAATACCACTAATATTAATCTTTCTGCTGGAACTGATGCGTAGCAAAATATCTCCAATGAGAGAAATACGAGGCTTACTACCAAAATTCTTGCATAAGCTTTTCATACAATAATTCTGAACTTCAAATAATGTAATATTACATTGAATAAAAAAATATGACCTCCCATCTGAAAATGAAAAGTGTCTTTTGTAATTGACATGGAGTCTTTAAGGGTTAGCATACAGAGTCCTTGTATGCAGGGAAATATCTGTGGAAGAAAATACCAACTTTGCAAGTTGTTCTTGGTTTGCTCAGTTAATAACACTCAATGTTTTATATTTAATTACAGAAGATTGCAATTCATTATTTCAAACAGATTTAAAACCTAATAAGCATCAGACTGCAGAGCAAATACTCTTCCTTTGTGCACATAACTGCTTCCAGCTTCTCAACCTTTTGTAATATAAGTACAGGAAAAAAGAATTAAAAATATGTACATGAAGGGAGATACACTAGAACATTTTGTCTGTTCATTGGAGCTGGATAGTCAACACAACAAGAAAAATTAAACTGGGATTTAGAGACACTTTTTAACCTTGTAGAATGAAGAGCTTTTATGATTTTACTTTAATTACCTTCTTTTTCAGTTTTTCCTTTGTTGTCTAAAATATCAATGAGACTTCTGTCTCCTGTTTTCCATTGTTATGAATCTCTCAAGCAAAATTGCTGCTTTCAAGTAAGAGCAGAATAGAAACCAGGGACAAAGGCACAGAAATGTTTAGGCAACAGATTCCATTAAGAAAAAAAAGAGGGAGAGAAAGAGAAAGTACATCTGACTGAATCAAAATTTCTAAATATTTTCATTTTTTCCTACTGCAGAAACTTTCTGACCTCCTCCAGGATAGTTTCCCAAAACTGCTGTGAAGGCAGCAAAGTAGAAGATGGATGGAGAGACTGCAGTGCTCTGCCTTTCTCTCCCTGCTGAGCTCTGCCACAAGGCAATGCCAACTCAGCTCTGTCCTCTTCCAGTCCCATTACCCACTTCTTACTCCTACCTTGTCTGTAATTAGATTTCTAAGCTGTCTTGGGATGGGAAAGAACTAGAAGAAACACACTGAGAAAACCTGCTGACTAACCCTGGGAATTAGTTATATTCAGGTCACTGCAGCTCACACGATGTGGCAGCTGAAATGAAGCAACATCATAGACCCGTAAAATCATTCATGTTGGAAAAGACCTCTAAAATCCTTGAGTCCAAATGTAAACCCAGCGCTGCCAAGTCCACCATTAAACCATGTCCCTAAGTGGCAGAACTAGACATCTTCTAAATGCCTCCAGGGATAGTGACTCATCAAAGGAAGCCCTTTTCCTAAAGCAAAGAAGTCTGAATTAACCAAAGCTTGGTAAAATAAGATTAATAACAGTACCATTTCTAGAATTACAGTGTTGAAAGAAAGATATTTGTTTAAAAGAGTTATTTTTTTTAAGAAATACTGTCCTAGATTAGGGTGTCTGGGTGTTTTACTGTGTCTGGGTTAGGTGGATGAATGGGGATACAATTTAACATCATAATCAACCCAGGACAAATACACTACATTATTATCATAACTGTAATAAAACCAAAAGATTTCAATCATACTTTTGTCTGGGAAGCTAACTGTGAAATAACAAAATCCCCACAACTTCGTTTTTGGTATGTGAAAGAGAATACATCTAAATTAATCCTCACATCTTTTTCACAGCTAGATTGATGAATGACTATATGTTAGAGAACAAAAGTAGAATTTTGTCTAAAAGACAGGAAAGCAGAGAAGCTGAGCTACAGCTCCTTCAAGCATCTTTTACCCTACACCAGTGATTATGAAGAAAGTGGGATGGATTTAAGACACCAAAGCTGAGGACAGATTAGTTCTTCTTCTCCAGAAGGTTGTTTGGGAGAGCAGACAGCCTTATTCCCAAACCAAATGTGTACCAAGTGGCTATGGACCCTCCATCCATGCCAGCTGAAGCTAGCATATGTTTGAAATTTAACAGGGAGAGGCCAGCCTTGGGCAGGGATACCAAACCTACCAGATTGCTGTAAAATGAGCATAAACCTTTCAGAGAAGTGCCATGGCACAGCTGTAAACCTGCTTGAAAGGCTTTACACAGAAGGCAGCACCCAGCTGTGAAAAGTTTTTGTTCTTCAGAAAGAACATTGCTCTGCCAGCCCAATGAGCTCAGAGAGCCTCTGATCAGCTGGAGCTAACAAGATACTTGCTAAGAGAGAGCTTAAGTTAGTGAAGCCCTAGTACAGATCTGTGAAAAAATGTGAGGTGAGGTGTTTTTAATCTCTCAATTATATGTTTACATTGGGTTTCTACTAAGGGGAGAGGGGAGTAAGATCTGCAAATTTTCTTCAGCGTGTATAAACCCCAAGAATCTGAGACACCTTGATGGTACTCAGTATTAATGCAAATGGCTCTTCCCAAGTCTTTGTTTTCCTTTCTTCAAGTTTTTAATGGGTTTGGCCTCAGGGTCCCTAAACTCTTGAACAACTCTAGTGTAGAAAATAATAGGTGTTAGTCCAGTTATTCTGAGTCCCAAGAGAGGATTATGCTCACTTGCAGCAATCCTTGCCATCCCTGCGAGCAATGAACTGCACTTAATAGCACAGTATCCAGCTTCAGCATGTGTCCATAGGAACTGTTTCACCAGTAGGTTGTGCTGGGGAGAGACTTTCACCTGACACACCTTCAGTTTGGGTTCAAAGTCTGAGGGTGTGACAGAGATTATTCTGTGGATTTGAAGCCACTTACTGTCTCTGTCCTTTATATCTGAAATGGGGAGAAATGTTTCACCTGTTAGAGGCTGAGGTTTCAGAGGATGAAAGAACTGCATCATTGCTTAGAAGATTTAGCAGAGTCCCATCTGTATAATGTCCAAGAGATTCTCATTGGGTAGATATTGTGTTGGGGTTTTAAATGGTGGTGGACTATGGTCTCTGCAAGCTCAGAACGGGTCTCACTTGCACTGCAAGGTCTGAGCAGAGCTCTAAGTTCAGAGGGAAATCCTTCCTCTTGCTTTCCTGTCTGCCTACAGATGGCTTAAAGACACTACAGAATATTTTTCCTAAGGAAAAAATGCCTCTGCAGAAAACAAGGTTTTAAAAGGTTGTTTCTTATCAATTGAATTCTGAGTTGAAATTGAATAGTGGCTGCCTTAAACCGGTATATGGCCTGTAAAGTGAAAGCCAGGCAGACAAAATACACACCTTCTTCCATCTTGTATTTATTCTTCTTTTTATGGCCCAGTCAAGACAGGAAACAATAAATGCACTATTACATTATAAATTTACTTTTGAACTACTTTCCTGGGGAAGGTTGGTGTAAACTGAATGTCCCCCTCCTCTCACTAAGGCTTAATCTTGATAAATGACAGCCTCCTCTCTTTCTGCAGACGTCTCCATGACCCATTGCCTGCAGCTCTCTGCTCTGCTGACAGCCTCAGGGAGCAGCATGTCTGGGTGAGTGTGGATGTCTCTCCCCAGCTGTGTCACCTGTGCCCACATCCTTGCGTGGCACTGACTGCTATGGCTCTCTTCCCCACCATATGGGAGGGAAGACAGTATTTTAGGAATGAATTTACAATACCAAGAAAGAGGGAGAATGGCTAAAGCCGGGTCTTCCTCAGAGGTCTGTATTTCTTGTCAGCAGCTGGGTTGCATGGGAAGATGTACATCTCCAGGCTGCTCTCTGCAAACAACTTCTGTGATGAATTTATACCCTCCATGCTTGTTGCTTACCAGAAATTCTTGTAAGAATACACCAGACATGAAGAGAGGCAGAGAAGCAGCCACAGCTGGAACCTGGCCAGCCCAGCTGGCATGGTGGTGTGTGTGAAGCCCCTGGAGCCTGTCCAGGGACAGGATGATGGGGGGAGCTGCTGGCAGCACGACCTGCTTTCCTTCTCCCACACATGACAATAGCCAGGTCATGGTAAAAGGGGGAGCCAGACTTGGACCAAAACCAGTGGGCTGTACTCATGAGAACTACTGCTCCACTGAACAGCTGGAGATCACTGATGTTTATCTCTGTGGGAACTGTGGCAGTTTCCACTTTGCCCTCATGTTGCTACACTGTTTGCAAGAAAGAGCAGCCCTTTCTGAAGATAAACCAGATAAAAGAGCAACGGAACCAGAAAAGCTATACTATAATTCAAAAGGCTTTAACCTGTTTATGTATTACACCACACCTTCCCTGTAAATACGTGTTGTCATAATGGCAGCAGTGGTACTTCTTTTTGTCGATAATCTACTGAGAAGTCCCTCGGTGTGACATGTGCTCAGGTAAATTGTGCTGATTAGCTCTTCAAGAAGGGCTAATGAAAATCACATTAGCACTATTTAACAAAAAGGTAAATAAGGAAATCTTTTGGAAGTGGGTAAATATTTGGCATCAGTCATGTGTTTCTGTGAACAAACCTTTTTAGAGTGACTGCTGATGCCATTGTCTATAAAGAGCCATGCATGCAGGTTAGGAGTGAAAACTGAGGTTGCTAAAATGTGTAACATAAATATTTTGTTTTACAACTGATGAACTTGCAGTAATCACACTTTCATAATTAATAAAAAGGAATTATGTCACTTTCAGGGCTATGAGTATAGAGCAGAAAATTTAGCAGACACCTAGTTTCTAATCTAAAAGCTTCATCAGGTATTTCCATTAGTTTCCATTACCACTGTAACTTGACTAAAAAAAAGAAGTGGTGGGGCTAAGGGATTAAATGATCCAAGTTTTCTGGAATACAGATATACAGCCAATTAATATAACAGTTTGTCCCAGACTGAGACATTTTGTAATCTGCTGGTTTTCACTGGTATCATGATAACAGCAGGGTACACAAGCGTTCCTTTGAAAACGTGAGCCGTTCTCTATCTTTCTAGATAACTGAAGGCTAAGCCTGCAAGGATTTTTAGAATAACTCCATGGAGGAAGTTTCTAGGGAAAGAACTCATTGTACCCAGAGATGGCTCTTGCTATGCCTGTAGGAGTACGTCCTGCAGGCAGCTTCCCAGCAAGAAAGAGTTAGAAATGTGTGGAGACATCAGGTTAGAATGAAGGTCAAGCAACTTTGAAACAGACCTGCATTTTATAAGAAAAGCTTCTACAATATATGTGTCCAGGCATTCCATTAAACAAAATCTGTTGAATATCAATAATAGTACTGGCTGGTGTTTCTTGACTGTACTATAGCCTTCACATCCAGTATTACCTTCTTTTTCCATAAGCAGGGATGGATTTTTACAATTAACTACAGAGTTTGTTGGACCCCATAACAGTAACTTCTTAAGCTGCTCTTTTCCAAGGTCAGAAGAAAATTGCCTTCTCTCCACATACAGTATTGCACTATTGGCATGGAATATCGGTCATGGATAGGTTTTCTTATTTTCCTCACATGAATCCCAGTCATTACCAAATGCAGCAGTCCTGACTGGGAGGCAGAGGGGTGGGATAGGAAACCTGTTTGATCCAGCATGGCAAATACTCTGTTGAAGTTGGGAATCCTCCAAATTCCCTTCATCTGTGTCTCAATGCTATTCCTGCACATTCTCAGATGAAGAAAAACATACCACATCTTCACAAGTTTAGATAGGAAGAATGGGTTTCAATCATGACAGAGCTAAAATTGCCAATATAGATAGTAACTTCAACTGCAATTTAAATGCTGGATTCAAAAAAGAGAATTCAAATAGCATCTTTTTATCTATTACCTTGGGATGCTGTAGGAGGGCAAGAGAAACCATACAGCTGGAGTATGTGTTTTTTCTCTGCACTTAAAAATTCTTTTATTGAAGAGGGAGGAAAAAACTGGAATTTCAGAATCTGTGTATCTGATTAGAGAATTTTTTTCCTGCGTAATCTGGAAAGAAATGAAAAACAATCCATTGCTATGGTAAAGGGTTCCCTCTGTATGTCTGCCAAGGTTGTTGAATGCATAAATCCAGGGAGAGTACAGACTTTGAAAGAAAGCAGCTTAGCTGTTTCTCCACAGCAACTCTCTTAGGACTCAGAAGGGTGAGAAAGTTTTCTTGACATTGCAAAACTCTTAAATAAAACTGAAAATATTTTTCCTATGTTTGGCAGTTTGAGATCTCAACAACATGTAATGAATGGATCTAGTGATACCCAAGAGATTGTTGTGGACAAGTCAGTGTGCCCACGTTTCTTTCCCAAGGTCTCCTTCCTTCAGAGATCCCACTGTGAGGTTTCTGTGTCGCAGTCTTTCAACAACTGGGCTTGTTGTCAGGCTCTTTGAATTCAGGTCAGTCTGTTCTCTGTTTTTTTCCATTTCTTCTTTACAAGGCAGTGCTGTTGAGCAATTCAGAGCACATGCATGGGTTAAGCCCCTCAAGAGTCCCTCCCTTCAGCCAAGACCCTTCTCCTGAAGTAACCCATATGATTTCAGAAATTTTACTGGAATTGAAGAACATAAGGGTGTCAAAACATAAATGCTCAGTGAAAAAGAAAGTTCTGTTTCAATGTAGCCAGGTTGTCTCCTGTGTGCAACTGCCTAAGTGCCTCTTGGTATATCTGGCTACCTGCTACAGACTCCTGAATCCCAGGTAAACATTTGGAGATGAGAGATGTGGTGTCACAGCATGGGCTTCTAGCACTGTGGTGGGAAGCCTGAGTGTTTCAGCTCCATATCCTGTGAAGTGCAGAAGTCCTGGCTTTGCTCCATTGGTGGGCCTGTCAGGCTTTCTAAATTGTTTGTTCTTGGAGAAGCTGGCAAATATCCAGTAGAAGGTTAACAGGAGAGTGTAAGTCCTGCAGGATGAATCCTGTAATGAAAAGCTGGGCTTTGTTGCCCTGAAAACTCAGTTTTCTGAGCTTGCTAACATAGTTTTCTAAAGACTTTCCCAGGACAGTAACTGTAAATATAGATATGTGTACATTCTTTCTGTTACACGTCTTGTGATGGACATCTGTCATGGCCAGTGCGGTTGGGAAAGTGTTATCCTGACCATCCAATCCCTGGCCATGGTCAGAAACCTATAAATTCTGAGAGAAGGAATAAAGTCCTCTCTTCCTTTCACCACACCTCGAGCTGTGTTTGTGTGATCTATTTCATCTCCAGCAGCAGCAGGGTTCTTTAGTGTGGTGAAGATGAGGCCGGTGGGGAATCCAATAGGAGCCTACAGCTTTTTGGAATCACAGAATCATGCAATGGTTTGGGTTGCAAGGGACCAACCACCCTGCCACAGGCAGGGACAGCTTCCACTAGTCCAGGTTGCTCAAAGCCCCATCCAATCTGGCCTTGAACACTTCCAGGGACAGGGCATCTACAGGTGCTCTGGGCAACCTGTTGCACCTCCTCACCATCCTCACAGTAAAGAATTTCTTAACATCTAATCTAAACCTACTCTCAGTTTGAAGCCATTCCCCCTTGTCCTGTCACTACATGCTCTTGTAAATAGTCCTTCTCCATCTTTCTTGTAACTTCCATTCAGGTACTGGAAGGCTGTAATGAAGTCATCTTGAAGCCTTTTCCAAGCTGAGCAATTCCGGTTGTCTTAGCCCTCCCTCACTGGAGAGGTGCTCCATCCTTCTAATTATCTTGGTGGCCCTCCTCTGGACTTTCTCCAACAAGTCCATGTCTTTCTTCTGTTGTGGGCCCCAGATCTGGATGCAGGGTTCCAGTTGGGGTCTCACCAGAGTGGAGGGGCAGAACTCCCTCCCTGTCCCTGCTGGCCACTTTGGCTTTCTGGGCTGAGTGCACATTGCTGGGTCATTTCCAGTCTCTCATCTACCAGCACCCCCACGTCCTTCTTGCAGAGCTGCTCTGGATCTGTTCATCCCCCAGCCTGTGTTGAGGAAGGGGTTTGCCCTGACCCAGGTGCAGCACCAGAACTTGGGCTTGTTAAACCTCATGAGGGTTCACTTGAACTGGTGCACACTTGGGCAGTGTCAACTGCACCGCTTAGCTTGGTGTCATCTGCAAACTTGCTGAGGGTGCACTTAATCCCTCCATCTATGTCATTAATGAAACTAATAAATAGCTCAGGTTATTTAATATAACCAGTGGTGCAAAGGTTATACAAATCCTCTGTAGCAGCAGACCATATGACAAAGGGCAATAGCCACAAGCTCTGTGTTCAGTGGTTCAGGACGGGCATTAGACAAGACTCTTTACTGAGGTGACAGTACAGCACCAAAGCATGGTATCCACTGACATTGTAGAATCTCCTTCCTTCGAGCTTTTCAATATTTAAAAGTATTAGACAAAGCCATGGATTCATGAAGTGTTGGTGATAAACATACCTTTAGCAAGAGTTTGAACTAGAGAGCTCCATATGGTGCCTTCTGACGTACACTTCCATGAATCTGTGGTGATTTGAAAGCTTCTAGGAGTCCTGCTCTTCAGATAAGCAAGATCACAGGAACAGCTTATTTATCTTTCAGAAACAGATAAACAATACCAAATTTTCCTTCCAGAACAGCTGTAGTTTTCCCCCTCTTGTTCCTCAGGTTGCACATTTGCTGAATTTCCTGCCTGTGAGAACTTCAGAGAGGTTTCCACTTTGTTTTGTGTTGAGATGGCAAGCATTTTACATCTGCAGGTTTCCATGGGACTGCATCAAGAAAGTTTTCACCCTGAGTAAATCACTATCATAGCCAGGCTGGCAGATGCAGATAGAGAGCTGAGATCACCAGCACAAACATGCCCCAATATTCATTGAACTGTTTCAGCAGCTGGGCCAGCATTTCCAGGCATCTCCCCTTCCAAATACCCCAGGTGGGATTGTTCTTAACTTCTGTGTATCAAGCTCCATCCAAGAGGGAAGTTGGAGTCTTGATCTCTGTCTGCCCTTCTGGTGCTGCAGCAGCACACAGACTTATCCCCCAGAATCAGACCTGCCATTAAGAGTATTTGCAATAATCTCTGCAAAGTTGCCAGAAAACCTTGCTGCTGCCTACATTTTACTTCAAACAAATCTAAAGGTTTGTCTGTGATTTTTTTTTTTAACCACTTGGCAGCAATAGCACCACAATCTGAGCCTGTAAAAAAGCTCCACTGAGCACATCAGCTGAGTCACTGCTTTTTACCACAAACCCCTCACAGCAGAACCTGGAGAAATCAATAACACCAGGCAGCTTAGTAAAAGTGCTGAGGTTGTGCAAGGTTCTTATATAGAAACACACCAAGTGTTCACAGCAGGAAAAGCACCTCATTAACACTGGAAAAAAGCCTTTAATTCACCACACACACTGAGGTGCAACCTCTGTGATGGGAGAAGGTGATGGCTGAAGAAATACAGGAAGGAAGTGGAATCAGTGACACCACCAGAGGGGGGAAAGATCAGTTTTATCACTGAGCCTTGAAATGCTGTTTATTGCATTCTCTGTTCATCTCTATTCTGAGCACACAGCCTGCATAAATACATGGAGCCTGAACAGAGGCAAAAGACGAGCTTTTCTTAAACTGTAATGCTTAGCTGTCTGAGGGCAGGAGCACCACAGGGGAGCTGAATGCCCTCTCCCTTAGCAAGTCACCCTGTAAATCCTCCTATTTCTGGGACACTGTGTTCCCATTATCCTCTGTGGAAGGGATAACAAGATGCCAAATCCCACAAGAGTAGGGGAGACCGTGCTGCTCTCACCATCTATTCAGAGAGAACTCTCAGCCTGCAGCATTGCCAGTGGCAAGTGTCAAGACTCGGGGTAACAGCCTGTTCCAGTCTTCTCAAACACACACATCCACATGTACTTGTACACCCCAGTTTGCATTCTGCATTCTACAAATCTCTTCTAAGAAACTTGCCTGTAAGTATTGGCCAGGCACGCTCCTGTCATAACTCTGTGAAACTCTGCATTTTGCAAAAAGTGATTTTTGTCTTGCCTGCACTAAAATTTGGAGGACCTGCTGGACATTTCACCAGAGTAAACATATTGAAGAATAACACTCACTATCCACTGCACATTTCTTCACTCTAGAGACAAACTGATATGAAAATGGCCAAGTGTTTTTTTCTATAGAGAATTTTTTTTCCATCTTGCATCAACATAGCATTTGATTTCACTTTTTCCCTCTTCTCTGTTTTAATTTTAATCTGTGAAAAGGTAGAGACTCCATCCAGAAGAGTAAGAGTTTCCACTGCCAGTAAGCAGATTTCTTTGTTTGAAATCGTATCCCAGCACACATCATCTCTTATCTGCTAATATCTTGTGATTATAATCACAAGGGTCTTCTAAGTATTACAATATCTCCTTTATTCAGTTATGAAACTGGTCCATGGGAACTTGAGCGCATTCCACAGGGCATTTGAGCTCTCTGACCTTTCAAAGTCTGTGATTGCTGCAGCAGCAGCAGTGACCTCCCCCTTGAAAACTTTCAGGGCCAAAGAAAGAAATTACAGCTGTGCAGGAAAACCAGGTATGCCCATTTTAAAAAGTGTAACCAGACATAGCTGTCCCTGGGGTGAGCTAAGGCATTGTCTCCTTCAAAGAGGCCACTGGAACAGTATCACAGCACCCCAGGGGCCACTGCTCTGTCTTTCCTCACTTTTCACATCTCACTTTAGCTGCTAAGATCTGAGGAATATGAGCAGGGCACTGTATGCATACACAGGCCATGATAGTATTGTTTTTGCTAGGGTTGAGCTGACCTTTGTGTTTGACATTTTTGGTTTGAAAGAAAACAATGGTATTTGCCTTATGTGACATGTAGACTTTCTAAAGCCATTCAGCTTCCCTTCTCTCTGGTGATATTGGATCCATGATCTGCAAAATACAATATTTCTCAGCTGTTGAGAATGAACCTGTAAATGGCAAGGTAAAGCCTGATGGAATAATAATAGTGTAAAGCAGAGACATCCACAAGCCTTCTCTGGATCTGAATTACTTTCCTTAATAGCAAACACTGATAACTTTATTTGCTCTTTGATAATTTCAAGGATAAGTCAAAGAGCTGAGGAAAGACCAAGATGTATATAGCAAGACAGGAAGAGTACACACATCCTACCTTATAAATAAATCTTCCTTTAAAAAAAAGGTTTATTTTAACATCTTTCTTTAGTGCAGCTAACATAACGCATAAATCCAAAACACACCTGGAGTTTTTTATCACATTCTCTTGTGTTCAAACTCTGTCTACAAAGAAACAGGTAAAAAACACCTCCTCTTGTAGAAAAAACAGTTGTACCCAAAAAAATCTCTTGCCTCTCACCTCCAGTGTCCCCCAGCATGATGGAAACACCAAGCCCGACACCTCCAGTTTCATGGCCCATGACTCCAAATTCTTTCCAAAGTAAGCAACCTTTTTAAAATTTTAAACTGCTTCCTACAACTAAGGGAGCCACTTCTTGACACAAGCTGGGGAGATTCCACTGCTCCTCTGCATAACTCAGTGCTGCACAGAGGTAGTGGCTATGAGAGGATGCACTTTGTCCAATTTCTTTGTACCTTTGTACTTTGTTTTTCATGCTTCCAAGCTAGATTGGACAAAGATTTAGAGTCCACTCCAAGAGAACCCAATCTGGTGAGGCTCACAAGTAGCCAGATCAACCAACTGAGCCCTTCAAGAAACTCTGAAAAACTGCTTAGCACAAAGTGAACAAAGCAGTGAAGGTATGACTCAAGATAACACTTTAGGGACTTATTACTGGGCCAAAAGAGGACATCTGGGATGTAATCTAGTGATTTATCCTTAGGGATAAACAGACAGCAGGATGAGATTCCTCCATCATTAGTTATGTTAAATATGAGGTTGTGATGCCTGATGTCTCCAGAGCATTAGCACTACAGGGTAAAGAATCTTCAGCAATTCACTTCAGAAAGTCAGCTGTCCTGGGGTAATAATTTTTTACTGTGTATGTTCTTGCACTCTTCTGCAGAAAGAAGAGTGAGGCTCTTATTCTTTTTTATAGTTTTCCCCACTTTTTCTTCATTTTTGCTTTAAAAACACTCTCATATTTTTCTTCCCATGCCCCATACATATATTGTCTCCTTTATTGTACTGCAAGAAAAGCAAACTTGCAGTTCATGGGAGGACTGTTCTTTTGGTTTTTTAATGGCAAACATTTCAATAAGTAGGCGAGGCAAGTGATGGTCTGTAGGCCCTCAAAGCTACTCACAGGTAGCAAGCAGTGTTAAGCTCCTGCTGATCTGCATTTGTGCTGACTGACTGAGCAAAGTTTCTTCTCTATTATTGTATATTTGCCTTTGGAGAAGCATCCCCAGGAAGGTTCTGCACTCTCCCTCTGAGCCTCTGTGCACTGCCAGTGCATGGTGTGCTCCTGTTAGAGACTCAGGGCCATTTGTTTCCATCACAGAGTCACCACAGGGCTGCGGTGAGCCTCTAGACACATGCTGGAAGTCACTCTGCAGGCAGCACCCAGACTGGCTGCAGACCAAAGAGCTACAAGTGGCTAAAATACAGCACACACCACAGGGTAACAGTAAAACTATTGTGACTATCTCACAGGCACCAATTCTGACCTCATCAGCAATCCTGCAAGAGGGAGTGAGGCTTCTGAGAACACACTCATCTCTATCTCCCTACTGCCAGTGTTGGTATGTGTCCAGAAAATCACATAAGTCTGAGCACACATGCTTGCAGAACATCTTAGGCCTTGGGGTGATGGTTTGAGCTGGATTTTTGAGCGAGGACCAGACTACAGTATTTGTCTAGACAATGTCTAGGGGTTAAAAGCTACTGACTGAACTGTGGAGAACTCCCTGAAGGGAGGGATTGATGGTCTCACAGCACTGGTTGAGGATGAAAGGAGGGCAAATATGCTGTTTGGACAGTTATCCTTGCTAGCTGTCTTTTCAAAGAAGGCTTTGAGCTATCAAGCCACACATCTCTTTGACGTATTCATGGAATACTGTGTATGGAAATTTTGCCTACAGTGAATCTATTCTTTTGGTGGGGAGGTGCTCCATCTGTCTTGCCTTTCCTTCCAAGTCAGGGTGAGTCCTTGGAAAGCTGGAGGTTCTACCAGTGGAAGAGGAGATGGCTCTGTCCATACAGTCAGCACTGCTCTGAACCTGCCCAAACCTCTCCATCTTTCCATGTATGTCCTGACACTGGCAGACTAAACCATTTTCCATTGACTGAGTAATACTTCTCACAAAACTGTGATCTCAGATGGTATTGAATTAATTTGATTCAGAAACTTGGTAGGAAATTTCTCAGTGCAGTTACCACACTCTAAACTGTTCTGTACTTAGTGACAATGGATAATCACTGAGTTGTTTAGGAATTGTACTTTATTCTGTATTCATATCTTGTATTAGTATTTTGTTTATATGTGTTTATGTATATATCCTAAATACATGAAAATAGATGGTGGATGCTAGTATCCCTAAATTGCATCTGTACAATTTGTACAAGATTGTGACCACTGCACCCATGCAAAGTTTCTCTACCAACACTGGAGCACCACTTGTAAGTAAAACTGTAAAGGATGGAGTCATCAGTACAGAACTTAACTGAGGTTGGGTAAAAAGAATTTAAATTTAAAAAAAAAGAAAAAAAAAAAAAGAGCTCTTTCTTTATTTCTCAGTGAAATAAATGTTCATTTCAGATCCAATGAAATATTCTATTAAAAAGATTTAATTGTGGAGGGACAATGTAAACAGGTTTTTTTAGTAAATGAAATGTTCAGCAAACCAATCATCATCTTTCCAATAGTCACTTAAAAAGAGTACACAGCAATGGTGATAGGAAGACCTAAATTAAATGTGCTTGTAACTTGGATAGTATTTCTTCAGGTCAGTATCTCACTAGGGAAGAAAACAACCAAACAATTATAGTATAAAATGAAACTGACAGAATAGAGATTTTCAGTTTCACCGGCATTTATTTTCCCAGAAAATGGCTTTAAAATAGAAAAATTCTAGAAAGTAAAAATGTATTCATTATGAAATGATTTTGCATTAACTTGATAAACAATAAAATAATGGTAGGAAGACTTTTCTGCCCTTGGAGAGATGCACTCTTTATTGAGTTAAAATTATAATAAACCATTGAGAGCCTACTGAGCTAGGTAATAAATGTAGCACAGCAATTTAAGAGTTCATTTCTGTAGCTCCATAATAGTTTCCAGAGGTTTTTTTTATCTTAGTAGGGTTTTTATGGTTGTGCAATTGTAGTAATTGAAAGTAGATTAAAAAAATTATTCTCCTCCAGACCTTTCCAGGAGAAAAAAAGAGATGGAATCTGTATGATGTTTCATCTGGGAAAATATGGAAATATAATTTTCATATAACGTAATGGTTAGTATGCCTGTACCTGCAATCTCATTATTATAGGGAATATGTATAAAATTTAAATTAAATTGGACATGCTCTCCTGGTTTGTATACCCATTCCCACCAGCAGTGCAGAGAAAAGTTTCATCTGGCACCCAGGAGCAGAGAGATGGATGGATGGATCTTCACCAGCACAGCTTCACCACTGTGATGAAGTGTTAATGCTCCCTTGAGCAGCACCTGCCCCACTCCAGTGACAGGAGAAGCTGTGCTGCTGCCAACACCATGGCAAGGTCTGGCCTAGACTTTGCAATGGGAACATGAAAGAGAAACACATGGGGCTAGGAGCTTGTGTGCTAAATGGTGCAGATGATTTTCATGCTGAATACAGGAGAAGAAATAATAATCATGTGAGGGGCTAAAGAGTGTGAATAAAAACTTTTGCAATGGAAGGCGGTATCAGGAGGCTGGAGGGAGGCAGAGCAGCTCTGGGAAGCTCATGTGCAACAGAGGTGTGTTTTGAGGTCTTACCAGATTTGGATGGGAGAAAGGTGGTAACACCATAAGCAGAAGGTGCATCCCTCTTGTTCCCAGTTTTAACCAAAGACACTGGACTTTGAAAAGAATGGGAGTTTGGAGCCTGAAATTGTAAATCTGTCAAGATGAGAAGAAAAGTGAATTTTGGCAGACGAATAGAGATACCATCTCAAGCAAGATATGTATCAAGTGAGAGAAGGCAGACTTACCATCCTCACAGACACAAGAGGTCAGATTTATGTGGAAGAACTGGAACATGAGGCTTAGATAGCACAAAAGCTTGAGAAAAAATAAACATCTGTCTGGACATAGGTAGCCACACAAGTCAGAAAGGCTGAATGGGAGAGAGCTTGTACTGCTGCGATATTACACACCTGTGTGGGAGAGCAGCACATGAGCCAGAAAGGCAATGATGCTGCAGGTGAAAGATGAGCAGAAGAATGGGATTGGAAGGTGGGAAATGCCACATTTCTTATGTGAGAATTTGATTAGCTTTTCCAAGGCCTTCTGCTTTTCAGCTATGCTGGAGAAGGAATTATAAGCTGCCATGTCTTAGAAATGCATAGTAGCATTAATGAAAAATGATCTCTAGTGTGCTGTGTCCTCCTATGAACATACAGGAGTCTCATACCAAGCCCAGCATCTCGGCAATCTTTGAAAACAACACAAAGAAAATACTTTAAACTCAATGAGTTTGTAATGGTCTCCAAGGATTTTCCAAATTTCATTCATGTTCTGTAAATAAAAATCCTGTTATCTGAGCCACAGTGACCTCTGATATCAAGGAGACAGGGATATTGACCCACTCAGAGGAAGAATTCTCTGATGCTACATATGGATGAAGGGACTCTGGCCGTATCAGCATTGTGAGCGGGATAATGGATGCTCGTGGCACAACAGAGCAGGGGTCACTCTCCGGGAGCAGGATGGGGATGGAGTTGCCATCTGCACATTCCTGATTCTCTTCATGATAATCAGCCCATTTTTCAAAACATACTTTGCATGTAAACGCAAGTGCTTAGCATTTATATTAGTAACATATGTGTCATTGTTCGAGCTGCAAGCTCATTAGCACCTCGATGTGACATGGCACCTGAACAGAATGAAGCTTGCAGAGATTAAAAGGTATAGGGAAATGGCTGAGGGCGAAGTAGACAGTGGCAAACAATAATATCTAAAAGCAGGGAGAGTCATACTTTTAATTTACCATGCATTTTGATCGATGGCTCTAACAACCTCCATTTAAAAGCACACAAAGAACAGTCATGTCCTAAAGGCGATGGCTGTGAGCACACACAGAAAGAGTCTGGACTACATTCGGATCAAAAACTCAAACCAAGGAAAGAGAAGGAGAGGACTGTTGAATCCCTGAAGCAGCACTGACATTTACATGTGACAAGAAGGTGGGAGAGGTACTATAAAAAAATGCAACTACTACTGTAGAAGATGATTATTAAAATATCTTAGGGCACAGATTGCAGCTACAGTAGTAGCACTTGTGACTGAAAATCATGAAGGATCAGTATGGATGTTGCTAACAGACTAAGACTAATATAAGGTAAACTGCATGGACAACATCCCTCACACTTAATTGCAATACAAATTCTGGCTTTGTGGAGAAACTTCATCTGTTAAATAGAGAATGATTCATTGAAATGACTGTCTCTCTCTGTGAGGGTCCTCAGAGGGGAGCTGAGGATGATTTAAGTACTTAGATGTATGCACAAGCCACCAAGAAACAAAAAAACAGTGCCAGGACTGATGCTGGTTTTTTGGAGCAGAAGGCTGCTTTTGTGCTAAGAGCCTGGCTGGATTTTGTCTGCTCTGTTTAAGAAAAGCACAATAGAGAGGCTTTTAATTAGATATGAAAAGGTGAAAAAGGACTTCTACTCAAATAAATATGACACAACCCGATGTGAGGCAGAGCTGTGAGGTAGATCTCCTTACACCTTCTTCTGCTGAGCACATGAAAACAGTTTTAGTCTCCGCAGATCCATTTTGCTAAAAGACAGGCTACTTTAGTCACTGTTGCAGCCAAGGAAGCCTTAATCAGCTGCATCTGAAAGAGATTAGAAAATAACATCTTGTAAATAAATATTCTCCTCCCCACATCCAAACCTCTATACTTCACAGTAAATCCTTTCTTTCGTTCTTGCTCACAGATAGGAAACTTCTACTGACTTCCTAATTGCAAGAAACCTTACACAGCTGGGGAAACCTCTTTCTTTCTATCACCTTTGAGGTCTGACTGCATTTCTGTGCTTCCTGCCCTGTTCAGAAGCCTCCAGCCCCTCTGCATGGCAGTCTCCCTGATGCAGCATCTGTCCTTGAGTAGCCCAGTCCTGGATCCACAAACATTCCCTGCTGCTGCCTTCTCTCCCTCCCTGCCATGGCTCTGACTGTCTGAAGTGCAGCAGCCCAGGCTAATCTTGTAGCAAAATAGATACCTACAGCATAAATGGGGAGCACACAAGTAAAACCCATCATACCCTTGCCATGTTTCAGTTTATATGAGAAGTTTAACCAACACAGAAACTCAGTTATCAGAAGGATTATCAAGATGAGCCCTTTCCTGCTTCATCATAAAGGACAACTATATATGGAATATAATATATCACATAAACCAGGGAGTCCTCTGGATGCTTCAATCTGTGACCAAAATTAATCGAAGAACAAGTAAAATTCTATACCAAACACATGTGCCTGTGGCAATGGGGCTGAACCAGAGAAACAGTGCTGCAAGAGAGTAGTAATAGGAGTGTGGTGCTTGTCTTGTGAAGACACTAATTCTGTCATTACTAATAAATGAGAGTACTGCAACGTGGAATAATAAAGAGTGAACATAAACATGAAAAAACAACAGTGAGAGCAGATGGCAATCAATACACAAGGGGGGAATTAACACAAAATCAGTTTGGATGCTGAGCTGTGGCTACAACTGAGCTGGTTTCTGAGCTCCACTAAACCTGACCTGATTGCTGCCTGGTACCTAAAGTACCTAAACACAACATCAAAGCCAGCTTGGCGTTGGCCTATTCCTCCTCCTCCAGGCAAACACAGCATTCACTACTTCAGGCACACACGCCTATGTACATAAACACACACACACAGAAGAAAGTTGTTTTGATTAAGTCACCTCCTTTCATTTTCCCACATATCCTTCTTCTGCAGAACTGTAGCATTCCAACCAGCCTGTAATTCCAGCTTAGTGGCAATCACCACAGATATTTGTTGACATTTCTCTGCCTTTTGTGTGCAGACAGGTTGCTTTGCAGTTGCATAGATAACTACATCACCTCAAGCTGCCTTTGGAAAAGTTGGAACCTGTGAAGTCTGACTTAGTTTGATATTGTTATAATCTTGGCTGTACAGTCAGTGTATTATAATACCACTGGATCTAGATGCAATATGGAAATGAAAATGCACCATAATAATCGAGCCGTCTTATATCCCACTATGGCTTATTTATTTTTCCCTTTACTCATGAAATCTTTGCGTTTTATACTTAGCTTCCTTTTCCATAACCTTTAATCAAATTTTGTTTTATTTTTCTTTTTGTAGGTCTCATATGGATGTCACTTAAACTGAAACTAATTAAGAAACATCTGCAGACAACAAAACAGTGTCAAGTGTGAACAACAAAATTTCTTCTAAGAGAAGAGTAGAGCACACTCTCAACAATTCTGGGAAAGCTCTGTCCAAACAAATGCCATGTTTATGTCCTCACTGGAGTTCCAGTGTGTTTCAACCTGTCTCTCAAGAGCGCTGCAAACCAAGACAGTTTGACCCAGACATTGCAATCAGCAATACTAATTAAATTTCAAACACCATCATCAGCTAGTCTGGTTTAGGTATAGTGCTCTTATAAGAGATAGGAACATAAAACAATGATTGCTTGCTTATGAAAAAGATATTTTACTTTAAACTGATATTTTTTTTTCTTTTTATAATTCTCAAGAACTCACTAGAGAGTCTTGTAAAGGTTATACTGAGGCATTTTGCCTATCTCTAACCCAATTTCATTTCTTTTATGCTTCATCTGAAGTCACTGGGATTGTCATGTTTCTTTATGGGATAATTATAACATCCCTGTAAGGTTTTATTACCTTAACACACTGGTATATATTCTCAACCCTAACTCTAGTTTAATACGTATTTTTAAATAATTAATATGTAGCCTAGACAAGCATGTGGTGCAGCAGAGAAATTAGAAGTCAGGAGTGTCTCTGAGGGAAAGATGCACCCTGTCCACATTACTATCCTTCCCATAAGAATGGTTAAGAGGGTTTAGACTCAAAAAAATTTGGACCATAACATTTCTGGTTCATTCCTGCTGGTAAAACAAACTTTTACATGGTGTTGTCAACCTGAAGAAGCAAAAAAAATATGAGATGAGGCTTCCACATCAGGATCACACGGTTGAAAAACAATGTGGGGAAAAGGGCCAGTGGATTTTGTGTTTGCAATTGTGAGGATAAGAAAATGGGTTTTGCCTTTTTTTCTTTATGCAGGATGATTTTCCCACAGGTCTAAGGGAAAAAAATAAAAATCATTTGGTAAGGGCTTCAAGGATAACACTGATGGGTGTCTGAAAACACCATGAGAGCATCCAACCCAGCCCTGAAACAGCCAGCTCTGCACTGCTGATGTTCCAGGCATCACAGCCAAGGAGACAGCACAGATGAATTGCCAAATGTCTCAGTGCAGTCTGAAGTGGTGCATTTTGCAATAGACCCTCCAAAAGCCATGCTATTACCCACTATTACTTCATGTAGTTGGATGCACGCTGGGCTCAGGGCAGATCCAGGAGCTGCAGTGTTGACCTGCCTGGAGGGAACTGACTGACACCATCATCTGTGGCTGACAGAGAACATGGTGTCCATACTTTTTCCTGAGCAGAGATGGGAAGCCTTTACAGTTTGTTTTGCAAAAATAATGTTTCCCTTTTCTTTATCAGAAGGAACACACTGGCATGACAGGCTTGTACTCCACAGGCTTATTTTTCCTCAGGTAATGGTACTTGAGCTCCTAGTCCCTCTGGTATGGCCACAAAATAAGTCCTTAATTAAAATAGAAAGCAAAAATAATAGTAGTTATTATTTAATGATAAAGTAAGATGAAAGAAGACAGGTGCCACAGGTGAAGCAAACACCTGACTTGAATATATATTGCCTGGCAGATTTCCCCAGAGGGGGAACAGCCTTTATCACACCACCAGCTAAGAGGGGTATGATCAATGACAGAAGTGTCTGTCACCTTTCACTAAATTCACCAACAAGACCTCTAATATTTTTTCAGAGAAAGAAAATTTGGATTGGTTCAGTAAGAACTGATTGAACTGAGTAATTTTCATGTGGGGCATCTGCAGACACCACAAAATCTGCACAATACCACCAGAAATAAATATAAGCATACTTTATGATCTAAGTAAATGCCGATGAATAAAGTAGTTCATTACATTATTTTTTTTCATTTTCCCCCTTTCTCTTTGCCTTGTAGCTATTGGAAATGCCCATCAATACAAACATTCATTTTAATAAAATCTTTTTTCCTTTTCTGTTCTGACACATCTCCTTATGTCTCCTTTCTTACAATCTTGCCATCTCTGCATCCAGTTCTCTAAAGCAGTTTCTAATTTTATCTTGAGCTGTGAAGTTTTTGAAGATTCTCTGTTTGAAAAAGACTGGAATAAAAAATAGGCTGAACTGAATAAATAGTTATTCTAACATTTTGATGTCTCATGGGTTCAGAACGCGGGGGTAGGAGGAGGTTCTGACAAACAGCGAACGCATTAAAGCTCCCTTGCTGTTTCCCTTCTGAAACACAGGGCTTCAGGTCACACAACCTGCTTAACCTAGGTCAGCTCCATCACAGACGTCTGATGCAGACCTTGTGATGCACCACTCCAAGAAAGAGAAGAAACAGGGCAGGAGGAGATGAGTAAGAGGGATTGGGTCATAAGCTTCTGCTCCATGCTACTGGAGACACATGAATGGTGGAAATGTCTACAAAGGAATAAGCCATAATTGTAGCAACAAGACATGTCCTGCTTTGCTGTCAAAGAGTTGAAGAACTAGTTTTATTGCTTCTTGCCAGCATATATCTGCCTTTAAATTAAGAACAGTGCTTAAAAATTATTCACAAAAACACTCTGAAATCCTCGGTCAGAAAACACTGCAAAAATAGGGATACTCCTAAAATACTTAAGAATGTGCATTGGATCAGTGGCTAATATTGCTCTTGTCTTCTCAATAATAAATTTAAATAGGTAACATTGGTCAGTTATTTTGCTAAACCTGGTGGTGGGATTGCTATGTGTTTTTTTTAAACTTAGAAGGTGATCACTCAAAAGGTAATTCTTCATTGATTGACACAGAATACTGTGTACAATGCAATGCATTTAACATGGGGAAAAAAACTTGATATGTAGCTTCTGTGCTACCTGGTAGGCATTGTGCTGAAACTCATATACTCCAAAGGATTGTCTCAAATCCTGCAAACCTATCAAACAAAATTACACCACTATTTCCCAAAAAAATCAGATAGAGTTTTAGACTAATTGGGGGATAAGTTATTTCCTTTTATCATATCCAAATAATTTTTTCCCAAAGTTAGTAGTTGTCTTTGCTTGTCTTTGTTTTCCCCAAACACCTTTCATGTTGTCTCTGAGAGCAGTCACAAAGCAATAGAAACATGCCAAACATATTGATTACAGAGTAAAATGGTTACCCTAGCAACTAAAAATCCTAGGAAAGCTCTATAAACTTCCTTCCATTCTCACGTGACTTCTTTTTATATACTTTTTTTCTCAGATGGTTTGAGAAAACATGGATATATAAGTATTTGCTCTGAATATACAGCAATGAAGAAAAGGTGATTCATGCCCAGATTATTTATTCCACCAGGAATAAAACTACCCACATCACTGCCTTAGTAATCCATCACTTGCATAACGGGTAGGCAATTTTTGTATCTTGGGGGGCAGAGTAATCCTCTCCCACTAATTTCTAAATCTATATTCAAATGTGACCTAAGGAAAGAAATCCAAGGATTAGAATTTTCCTTAAGTGTCAAGGCAAGCAAGATGAACAGTGTGAAATAATTAGAAATTATGTGGGGGTCTAAATAATAATTAGAAATAATTAGAAATTATGTGGGGGTCTAAAGCTGGCTCTGCTCTGTACAGAGCGAAGGAAAGGATTGTCCTCTCTCCATGGGTGGTTTTGAATGAAGGACTTGGTGTGACAGTACTGACCTAACCAGAGGAGTAGCAGGGTCCAGAGATGGTGGTAGTTGGCTCATGTGGTTTCTCAGGTTCATTCTAGGCACAGCCTGATGGTGCCAGGATATTTAAAAGCGCAATTGAGAAAACACATTAAGCTTAGTTGGGAGCAAACTTAGCTCATTTCTCTGACCCCTCCTTGGCTCAACCCCAGACACACAGAAGACTCTCTACTTACTGCTCAAGCAGCCCTCATTAACAGGCCCAGCTTCTCAGCCTTTTAATATTTCAGAAGGAATTGCCCTTGCAGGCATTAAGCAGATGCTTGTTGATCCATTCGTTTGTAAGCAGGAACAGTAACTGGACTATGAGGAAAGGGGAAAACATGTAACAATGATTACATTAAGGTTTGGGGGTTTGTTAGAAGAAGGGTGTCTAAGCCAGCAATTCAGAAAACAGGCCACTACTATTCAGGCTTTGATATGCTGATTTTTTCTTCTCTGAACAAATGGTGCTAGGTTGTTTTTAGGTTTTGGTTTTTTTTCCTCTATAATGGCTTTCCAAATAAAAATGCTTTTGAAAAGCTGCAATTACAGAGGTTACAAATAACGTGCAGCAACACAGCTGGCACTGGAACATTTCCAGAACATAATCACCTGTCGTGCCATGATGAGGGCCCATTATATCCAGTGGGGTCCAGCAGATCTGTTGTTAAAAATCTCATCTCTTAATGGAGGAGGTCTGGGATTGTCTGAGCCTTAGCCTGTTTTCCTGTGTCATTTTGTGTTAAGGAGGTGTGTTATTCCTTTGAATGATGGCTTTTTATCTGTCCCAGACTTGTATTGTTAATAGAAGACTGAAGAAAATGTGATTAAGTTACATGGAACCATAAATTAGCTTGCAGTGAAAAGAAATGTCACAATCAAAACCTTCCAGTAAACATAATCCTAAGAACTGAGTATGGTATAAAGTGTGGGGAAATACAGAGAGGTTAATTTTTATGGGTGGAATATTACTTCAATGCAACAAAAGGCAGCTCTCTAACTCCCTTTATTTGAACAGATGTTTGCCTTGTGTTGTCTTTTGTATTCTCAGGGGTTTTTTGTCAGTCTTGAGAAGGAAAACTTTGCTAATGTCCTTTTAATACCCAGTTTCCTTTAATTATTTATTTTTCTGATTGAAAAGTGCAAACTTCTCTAGCAAGACATCAGTATTTGTTTTATATAAAAGAATCACTGTCACTTCTATAAGCAGTGAAGTTTCTGCTTTCTGCTAAGATATAGAAAGATAACACTGAGCACTAGCATTTTGACATGTACCAGTCACAGGACCTAATGGTAACATTAAATTGACATACTTCTTAGGGAAAGGAGGGAATCCTCAAAGGAAATATACTTCCACTTTTCCATAACTGTCATCACTTTACTTTGCATGGCACTGATTTGGGGAAGCTGGATGAAAACAGTGTAGTCAGCCTTAAGATTACATCCCAACCTGACTGATTTTGCTGCACAAGTAGGGCAGAGCATGTTCCTGATCACATTCACAATCATCTGCAGCTATAACAGAGCCCAGACTGCTCTTGAGATATCTATCTATCTATCTATCTAT